TCAGCTCTTTGTATTGTTTCAAGAACTCTCTGAAGGGCTGGTTTTGTGGACATGAATTCTCTCGGCCTATTTATGTCAAGGAAGATTTTTCTTTCCCTTTCGACTATAATAGACATTTTGGCTGGGTAAAGTAATCTGGGTTGGCATTTGTGGTCATTTAGAACTGGGAATACTTTGGCCTCGGCTCTTCTGGCTTTCATAGTTTGCACTGAAAAGTCAGCTGTAATCCTGATGGGTTTCCCTTTATTTGTGACTTGTTGTTTCTCTTTTGCAGCTTTCAGTATTGTCTCTTTTTTTTTTTTTTTTTTGTACGTTTAAGTGTGAGTTTCTTTTCTGGTCCTATTTGGTGTTCTGTGTGCTTCTTGTATTTGTATGGGCATGTCTTTCTTTAATTTGGGGTAATTTTCTTCTACAATCCTGTTGAACATCTGGTCCATATCATTATCCTGAGATTCTTCTCCTTTCTGTATGACTGATTCATAAGTTTGGTCTCTTTATGGTGTCACACAGTTCCTGCATATTCCATTCTTATGTTTTCTTAAATTTCTCATAATCTTTGCTTGATTGGTCTAGTTTGTCCACTTTATCTTCCAGTCTTGATACTCTGTTTTCCATTTTTTTCATCCTATTGGTGAGGCTTTCTGCTGTCTTTTCTAAGTGGCTTACTGAGTGTTTCACTTCCTTCTTCATTTCAGCCCGAGTATTCTTCAATATTTTTTAACTCTTTTCTGAATTCATTCAGAAGTTTATCCCTATCTTCCTTTAGTTCTTTATTTGTTTTTGTGTTCTTTAATTTCACTTTCTTCTTCATTTTAGACTGAGTAGTCTTCAATATTTCTAACTCTTTTCTGAATTCATTCAGAAGTTTATCCCTGTCTTTCAGTTCTTTGAGTTTTTTTTTTTTTTTTTGGTTTGTGTGTTCTTTAAATTCAATGAATTCTTTTATCATGTTTATAACTGTTCTTTTGTGTTCCCTGTCCTGTGTTATCTCTAGGGGATTCTTATTGTACTCCTCTAGAGGACTGTTGGTACTTGGTGGTATATATTATTTTGGTTTTTCATGTTATTTTTTCTCTCTGACTTTGACATGTGGATTTCTTTTCTAGTTTCTGATTCTTGTGTGAGACTCAAGCCTTCCTTTGTTGAGTTTAGGTCTGCTTCTTTTTGTAAACTTTATGTGCCTTTGTGGTTTACTTGTTGGGCATGAAAAGCTGGTTGGTCTAGGCTTCAAGTTCTCTCTTTTGATTTTATATTGGAGTGGCCAAATTGCTTTGTCTTGCTGCTCAGGAGTTCCCACAGAGGCCCAAGTCTGCTGAGGATCAGATGCTCTCAGGCTTTCTCCTAAGGTCTGGATCCCTCCAAGAAAAATGCTGGCCTCAGGAATTTGGGGGCTGGGCTGGCCTGGGAGCAGAGCCCAGGAAAGATACTGGCCCCAGGAAGCTGGTGTCTGTGCCACCCAGGGTTGCAAACAGAGGTGGGGGCAGGAAGGGGCCCCAGGTCTCTTGGGGACTACTGGGAAGAATTAGGTTGGTCTGGATGCAAAGGATCAGGAAGCAGTGGGGATTCTGGGCCAAGAGGCAAGAGGTCAGTCAAGGGGTCTGGGGTGCCAAGACAAGAAATGGGCCATTGCCCAGACTAGGAGGAGAGATGGGATGGGGAGCTGGGAGGGTGAATGAGGCTGGGGGAGTCAGGTGCAGTGGGTGCTGGGAAGATACCCAGGCAAGATGCAGGCCCCGGGAAGCTGGTTGCTGTGCCATGCAGGGAAAAGGAAAGTGGGGGTGGGAAGAGGCCCCAAGGGCTCCTGGGGACCAGGAAAGACGCTGACCCCAGGAAGCTGGTAGCTGTGCCATCCAGGAATGCAAAGGGAGGTGGGGCTACATTTTTGGTCTTTTTGAGAGAGGGGGGTCTCCCTATAGCCCCAGCTGACTTGGAACTCACTATGTAGACCAGGCTGGCCTTGAACTCACAGTGATCCACCAGCCTCTGCCTCCCAAGTGCTAGGATTAAAGGCATGCACTAGCATGCCTGGTGTAATTTACTTTTAAATATTCTTTTTTCCCTTTTTCCTGACAGTACTGACTAGGATTGAACCTAGGGTCTCCTAAATGCTAGGTGGGTGCTCTACCACTGAGCTACAATCTCAGCTATAACTATCCTTGTTTTTTGTTTTATTTTGTTTAGTTTTCAGTTATGTACTACTTTTTTTTTTTGAGACAACATCTCCCTGTGCAGTCCAGGCTGGCCTTGAACTGTGATCCTCCATGCTAGGATTACAGCTGTGTGCCACCATACCTGGTTAGTTTTTTTTTTTTCTTTTAAGTTTATTTTTATTTTATGTGTGCGAGTGTTTTGCCTGCATGTATGTAAAGTGCTCCTGTGTTGTATAGTGCCCTCAGAGACTAGAAGAAGGCATTGGATCCCCTGGAACTGTAGTTAGAGATAGTTGTTGTCACTATATGGGTTCTAGGAACTGAACCTGAGTCCTTTACATGAGCAGCCAGTACTCTTAATCATTGAAGCATCTCTCTGGACCCTTTCCTTTTTTGAGTTATTTGTTTATTTTTGGTTTTTCTTTCCTCCTCTTCCTCTTCCTCTTCCTCCTCCTTTTTTGTTTGGAGACAGGGTCTCCCTGTAGGCCTGGCTGGCTGGGAACTTGCTGTGTTGACCAGTCTGGCCTTAATCTCACAGAGATCCTCCTGCCTCTTTCTCCCAAGTACTGGTACTAAAGGGATGTGTCACCATGTCTAGCAAGCTGTTTTTGTTTTATGTATATGAGTGTTTTGCCTGCATTATGTAGTATACCACATATATATAATGCCTGTGGAGGCCAGAAGAGGCCATTGGATAATTGAACTGGAGTTGCAGATGGTTGTTAGCCTCCATGTGGGTGCTGGGAACTGAACCCAAGTCCTCTGCAAGAGCAGTAAGCTCTTAACTGCTCAGCCATCTCTCCAGCCATCCTTCCATCTTTTTATCTTCCAATGGTCTTGGCTTAAGGTCTCTCTCTCCCTTTGAATACCACTTATGTCTGTGTTTTGTTTCCTCTTAGTCTCTTTGTTCCCAAGGCCTTTTTTCTCTTTTCTTTCTCCCCCTTCTCAATAAGTTTTGTTTGTCTGGCATCAGAATGAGGACAGTGGCTTTTGAAGTCTGTTTGGTCCTGATAGCTGTGCCCATGCAGAGCTGTTAGGACAGGCAGGCTGGGCTCATTCATTCAACTGGCAGTGACAAGCATCTCCCCATAACAGTCACCCATTAGGCTCCATTTGACTGGCACCCGCTTTGGCAAAGGGAGTAGGTGAACAGGGCCAGGGAGCTGAGAAGTTGAAGCATTCCCATTACGAGGATGGGTTTGTAATCATTTGGTGAAGCCAGAACACGTAGATGAATATAAATTAGCATCTGTAACATGGCCAAACATCAGTAAGTGCATGGTAAGTGAGGGCCAGCTGGCTGTGGTAATGGAGAAGCAGCCAGGAGAGGAGACTCACTAGACTCTGTTCTTAATAGAAATTGAATTAGATGTGTGTGTATGAGTGATATGTGTGCACATGTATGTATGTATGCACATGCCTGTGTGCACATGTGGAGGCCAGAGGAGGGTGTTAGGTATCTTTTTTTAACCTCTCTGCCATATTCCTTTGAGGCAAGGTCTCTCTAAACTCAGAGCTTGAGTTTTTCAGGTAGACTAACAGCTAGAAAGCCCTAGTTAATGCTCCCGTCTCCACTCTCTAGCCCCTAATGTTGGGATTACAGGTAAATGTGAGACCATGTGAGGCTTGTTATGTGGGTGCTGGGATGGTTGGGCAGCAAGTGCTCTTGACCGCTAAGCCATGCCTCCAGCCCCACTGAGCTAGATTTTTGAGAAAATGAAAGTTTTGTGGGGAGGCTTTAAAATCTGGCAGGGTATTCAGTAACAAGGCAGGGAGGTGGGAGAAATGAAGGCAGATTTGAGTTTAGGGTCCACGGAAGTGAAAGGTCTTGAGAGAGTCAAAGGGAAAAAAGAGGAGCCATTAATGGGACATACTTGGCAGCTGTGTCCCGTGACACATACCTGTAATGCCACACTTGTGAGGCTGTGGTGGGAAGATCATATGAGTTTGAGGCCAGCCTGGACTACAGAGTGAGACCCTGTCTCCAAAGACAAAACATAAAACCAAACTAGCAATAACAAAATTGTTTAATGGCTACATTTGGAGGCCAAGTTCTAATGCATGAATTTCCTTGGGGAGTCACTGTTAGAAAAAGGCCAGGTAGAAAAGGAAAGCTGAGATGCATGGTCCTTGGGAGCTGAGGTGGGACAGTGGGCCTTGAGGCTTGAGGAAGAGTGTCATAGAAGAGCTAGCCCGTGTGGAAGCAATGGGTTCCCCAGGGGAGACATCCCCCAGTTCCCGGAATGTGGATGAGGTATCAATAGCAACATGGCCATACACAGCCGTGAGGGGCCCCAAAGGGAGGGACGGAGCCTCTAGGTCACTAGGCGCCTCTGAACAAGGCGAGTTTCTGACTTTAATAGGTTTTAGGGGATGTGTGTGTGTGTGTGGATGGGGAGGGGGGTGGTTAAGTTCCATACCGCATGACCTTGTCTGATTTAGCCCACATGAACTCTGGCATGGAGCAAGGCCCTGGATAAGGAGCTTACATTACAAGGCTCTCTACAGCTTGGGTATCAGGGGGAGCTGTAATGTTACAGCAGTTCTCTGTAGCTGCTAGAGTAGGGGAGGTAGGGAGGGGAAGAGAAGGGGGAAAGGGGGAGAGGAAAGAGAAGAGCTGGAGAAGATAAGAGAGGAGAGAGGAGAGAAGATAGAGGAGAGGGGAAGGATGGGGGAGAGGGGATGAGTCATTAGGGAGAGAAAAGAGGGTAGAGAGAAGAGAGGAGCGGGGAGAGGAAGGAAGGGGGGAGAGAAAAGAGGAGGAAGGGGGAGATTGATTTTGGGGATAGAGAAAGCAGTTAGCTCTGTTACCTGATGTTCCTCACAGACTGTTGCTCCTTTGCCATGCAGGTGCTGGCAGCAAGGAGGAGGAGGCCAAACCCCAGCAGGAAGACCTTAAAAGGGCCTTTGTTGGGTTAACATCTGATGGATTTGGAGAAGCTGCCATCCAGGTTCCTGGGCCAGCAGGCACTTGTGTGCAGGAGCCTGGGGGCTCTGGGTCCATTCTACCTGGGCATCCGGCTCCCCAGCAGGGGATCCATCCCCTGCCGGATGCCCTCAACACCCACAATTCCTTCTGGAAGCCTTTCCAGTGTCCAGAGTGTGGGAAAGGCTTCAGTCGCAGCTCCAACCTGGTCAGGCACCAGCGAACCCACGAAGAGGAGAAGTCGTTCGGCTGTGTGGAGTGTGGGAAGGGTTTTACCTTGAGGGAGTACCTCACCAAGCATCAGAGGACCCACCTGGGCAAGAGGCCCTACGTGTGTGGTGAGTGCTGGAAGACCTTCAGCCAGAGGCACCACCTGGAGGTCCACCAGCGCAGCCATACAGGGGAGAAGCCCTACAAGTGTGTGGACTGCTGGAAGGGCTTCAGCCGCAGGCAGCACCTGCTGGTGCATCGCAGGACCCACACCGGGGAGAAGCCTTACACCTGCGAGTGCGGCAAGAGCTTTAGCCGAAATGCCAACCTGGCAGTGCACCGGCGTGCCCACACTGGGGAGAAGCCCTATGGCTGCCAGGTGTGTGGCAAGCGGTTCAGCAAAGGGGAGAGGCTGGTGCGTCACCAGAGGATCCACACCGGTGAGAAGCCCTACCACTGCCCAGCCTGTGGGCGGAGCTTCAACCAGCGTTCCATCCTCAACCGGCACCAGAAGACCCAGCATCGCCAGGAGCCCCCTGTGCAGTGAGTGCACCATGGGGAGAGACAGCCCTGCCACGGGGTCACTTTGATTGCACTGAGGGACTTGGGCAGTACCCAGTGAGGGACTGTAGATATCCTCAAACACAGGATAAGGGCAGAGGCCTATGTGGAGGGCTTCTGAAGGGGCCTTGCTGCCCACCCTCCCACCTAGGGGGTGCTGACAGTTATATCCCCCAATACACAGTGAGGTTTTGGGACTCACCTCCTGAGCAAGTTTGGAGGTGAGGGCAGAGTTTTGTTACATGTTGGTAGCTTGAAGCCAATTTTTCTTTTCTTTTCTTTGAGACAGGGTATCACGTAATCCAGGCTGGTCCCAAACTTGCTATATAGCTGAGGATGACCTGGAACTTCTGGTCCTTCTGTCTCCATCTCCTGAGCACTGGGATTACAGGAGAGGGCTATCCATGCCTGCTTTATGTTATGGAAATGGAACCTAGGGCTTCATGCATGCTAAGTGGGGGCACTCTACCAACTGAGTTAACTTGCCCAGTCCTAAGCTCATTTTTCTGAGGTTTCTGTCCTGCTTGTGAGATCTTTAGCTCAGTCTCTCCCCCTCCCCACTTCTTTTCCACTTTACAAATATTTATTCAATACCAGTTGTGCTCCTGGCTCCAGGAATACCACAGTGATCAGGACAGGTGCGATCTTGGAGCTTGTGAACACAGCAGGAACAGAACAAATATTCCAAAGCTTGTGTCATCGTTGTAAGTGCTACGTTAGAACCTTGCTGCCCTCCTTGGCCGGCCTGCCTGTGTGGGATCTCGCCACCTTCGCCTCAGCTGGGACTTCTCTCCTGCAGCTTGGTTTATTTGCTTCCTTTATAGCCCCGGTTGTCTTGGACTGGCAAACCCACCCTCATCTGTACCCCACCCACCATTGTTCCTCGCATTGTAACCACAGCCATTAGGAAATTAATATTTTGCTACAGGTCACTGAATAAACATCAGAGTATTTTAAGAAAATATTAACCTCTCTGAAAATATCTGATAATCTGAATTGGAAAGATAAACTAGTATTAATGCCTTATGTTTGATGGCATTTTAGTTTATATCATTCCCCCCTCCCCCCCGGCCTTATATCACACATTGCTAGGTAAGTGCTGTAAGACTGAGCTATCTCTTCAGTTCTTTTTTTTTTGGTCTTTTTGAGACAGGGTCTCCTGTAGCCCCAGCTGTCCTGGAACTCACTATGTAGACCAGGCTGGCCTCGAACTCATAAAGATCCGCCTGCCTCTGCCTCTAGGATTAAAGATGTGTGCCAGTCCCCCTTCCCCCTTTAAAAAAAAAAGATTTTGTGCTGGGCGTGGTGGCAAGCCTTTTATCCCAGCACTTGAGAGGCAGAGGCAGGCTGATCTTTGAGTTCAGGCCAGCCTGGTCTACATAGGTAGTTTCAGGCTAGCCGGGGCTACAGAGAAACCCTATCTCAAAAAGACCAAAAAAAAAATGCTTTTGAGGAAGGGTCTTGATAAGTTCCCCAGGCTGGGCTTGCAGTTGCTCTGTAGTCCCAGCAGGCCTTGAACTTGTACTCCTGCTTTAGCTCTGGAATAGACGGGATTGTACCTTTGCACTTCCATTCCAAGCTATAAAATAACTTCTGTGTTCTCATCTGAGTCATCCTGTAAGTATTTACTGAGGTACCTACTAGGAGCTCTGATGGGTACTCAAGATGCATCAGTGCATCAGATAGAGGAAAACAAAACCCTGAGCTTAGGCTGTAGAGATGGCTCAGTGGTTGTCTTTTTGAGACAGGGTCTCCCTGTAGCCCCAGATGTCCTGGATTCACTATGGAGACCAGGCTGGCTTCGAACTCACAGAGATCCCCCTGCCTCTGTCTCCGGAGTGCTGGGATTAAAGGCATTTGCCACCACGCCCGGAAAGATGGCTCAGTATTTTAACAGCTCTTGCTTCTCTTGCAGAGGACTGGAATTTGTTTCCCAGCACCCACATTTTTTTTATGAGTATATTGCCTGCATGTATGTAAGTGTACCTGTATTATGCAGTGCCTATGGAGGTCAGAAGAGGGTGTTGGATCTCCTGGAACTGTAGTTATGAACGGTTGTTAGTCAGCGTGTGGGTGCTAGGGATCAAACCTGGGTCCTCTAAGAACAGCCAGTGCTTTTGACTGCTCTTGAGCCATCTCTTCAGCCCCCATAAATAAATCTTAAACAGTAGAGAGATGAAAAATCAGTGGAGAGAAGTGAAAGGAGCAGAGAGAAATGAGTGCATGTGTACCTCCTTATGCTCGGCCCCCTCTCCAGATGTGTGCAGTCCAGGACCTGCCCCCCTGCCTAGGGAATGGTGGTGCCCACAGTGGGCTGTTTTCCCACATCAATTAACATGTAATCAAGACAATCTTTTGTAAACATGCCCACAGGCCAACGTGATATAGATAATCCCTCCTTAATGATTCTCTTCCCTGGTGAGTCTAGATTGTGTCAAGTTGACAAATCTAGGCATCACACCAACTGAAGATGAGATCAGAGAACCCATTTTACATGTGAATGCTGATTCAGGGAAATAAAGAAGTTTGTAGGCATTATAAATATAATGGTAAGCTAGGGGCTGGGGAGGTGGCGCAGCAGGCAAAGTGCTTACTGTGCAAGTGTGAGGACCAGGGTTTGTCTTCAGCACCCACATAAAAGCTGGGTGAGCATAGGGGCCCCTCCTATATTCCCAGCATGGTGGAAACGGGATCCCCGCACCAAGCATGCTAGTCAGCCTTGCTGAAACCGAGCTTTGGGTTCAGTGAGACACCATGTCCCAGTACATAAGGTGGCAAGTGATCGAAGCAGAATGCCAACCTTGGTCTTCCAGATGTATGCTTATGCACATGTACCTGCACACACGTGTGTCCACATATGTGCCCACACATGTGAACACATGCAAAAAAGGCAATGTTACTGTTTACAGTTTTTTATATTACTTTGCTGCTGTTAGAGGATTTTCTTGCTTGTAGCAAGATTTTTTTCTCCAAAAAAAAAAATTTTTTTTTTTTCCGGAGCTGAGGACTGAACCCAGGGCCTTGCGCTTGCTAGGCAAGCACTCTACCACTGAGCTAAATCCCCAACCCCCAAAATTGTTTTTACATATTAATTTGTGTGTGTATGCATGTGAGTTATGCATGCATGTACCCATGCATATGCGTGAATGCACCTGCCGCTGTGGTGCATGTATAGAGGTCAGAGAGCAACTTTCAGGAGTCACTTCTCTCCTACCATGGGATCGAGCTTAGGTTGTCAGGCTTGATGTGATGAGCCTTCTTACTGGCCCTTGCTGGAAAAATTCCGAGAACTAACTAGTATGCATGCACTGGGTGCTGAGTATCTTATGACAGTGAACTGTTAAAATTGCAAGCTGTGGTTTGTTTCAAGGTGCCTCTGAATATATTTTGCTAAGATTTGATTTTCCATTTAGCACTGTAAATAGCTGAGTGGGGACTCAGGAAGTGGCTCAGTTGATAAAGCATGCTGTGAAAGCTGAGGACCGGAGTTTGACCCTTAGAACCCAGGTAAAGTGGAGAGTACTGCTGCATGTTCACAATCCCAAGGCTTGGAGGCAGAAACAGGTAGATCCCTGGGGTTGCTAGCTAGCCAGCCCCGAGTAACAGGTGAGCTTAAGGCTGGTGAGAAAGCCTTCAGAAAGCAAAGATGCTGCGAGGAAGACGGGGGAGTTGTATCCCTCAGTCCATTTTGATTTTATTGTTTGAGACAGGGTCTCTCTGTAACCCCAGCTGACCTGGAACTCACTAGGTAGACCAGGCTGGCCCTGATCTCACAGAGTGCTGCTTGCCTCTGCTTCCCAAGTGTTGGGATTAAAGGAGTGTGCCACCATGCCCGGCTTCAATCCACTTTGAAACACATGGCTTTATAAACCCACTTTTTGGCAGGCAGCCATGGAACTTAATTTTTTTAAAAAAATTATGGGGTTGAAGAGATGGCTTAGTGGTTGAGCATTGTCTGCTCTTGCAGAGGACCTGGGTTCAGTGCCTAGCACCTACATGGCATCTAACAACTGTCCATAACTCCAGTTTCAGGGGATCCAACATCCTCTTCTGGCCTCTACAGGCTCCTGCATGTACATGATGCACATATACTCACAGAGACACATGCACTAGGGAGGCAGAGGCAGGTATCCCCTGTGAGATTTAGGCAAGCCTGGTCTACATAGTGAGTTCCAGGTCAGCTGGGGCTACAGAGAGACCCCGTCTCAAACAAAACAAACCAAAATACACACAAAAAAAGTCTTAAAAAATTATTTGTGTGTGCGTGTGTATTGGATGACACTATTCTTACCAGGGAGTCATGAACAAATGTCTACTCACCCTAGATAGGAAACTGACAGACCAAAGTAACAAAACTGCCCAAATCCAGTTCATTGAACCAATGAGTTTATTGTGGTTAATATAGGAATGCAGGTTAGGGGTTACTTACAGGAGCAGAAATGACTCAAAGACAGCTATATCACCAAAAGCGCACCCCAGCATGGGAGACTGCTCATGAAAACTGAAGTCTGTAGCTGTCTACAGGACTTAGGTCAGAGTCCTCTCCTCAGTGGTCCTCACTGCTTATATAACCTCAGGGAGGGCGGGACTCTGCATCTGTCAGTTTCGGGGATTTCCTGAGTCACTGTGTTTTGTTTACTTTCTGAATTTTAGTTTTATTTTAAAAAATATGTATTATTTTTATTTTATGTGTATGAGTGTATTGCCTGAATGTGTGTAAGTGCACCCATGTCATGTAATGCCCAAGGAGGTCAGAAGAAGGCGTTGGCTCCTCTGGAAGTGGAGTTATGGATGGTTGTTAGCCACCATGTGGGTACTGGGAATCAAACCCAGGTCCTCTGGCAAGAGCAGTCAGTGTTCTTAACCACTGAGCCATCTCTCCAGCCCCATGACAAGGGATTTTATTTTTATTTTTTGTCTTTTGAAGCAGGGTCTCCCTATAGCCCCAGCTGTCCTGGAACTCACTATGTAGACCGGGCTGGCCTTGAACTCACAAAGATCCACCTGCCTCTGCCTCCCAAGTGCTGGGACTACAGGCCTGCGCTACCACGCCAGGCTGACAAGGGATTTTTAAAAGCATGTTTTTCTTTTCTAAATTTATAACAATTTGCCTGGTTTTATGATTTTACTGATAGCCAATCAATATGTAAGTTTATTTCTCACTGTAACCCAATACCTAAGGTATAAAAGATAAGTGCTATTTCCCTTCAGGGTCCAGATTTTGAGGCTTGAGGCTGGACCAGGTTGCAGCCTAAATAAAACACCGGCTTCCGGTACACTCCTGTGTGTTTTGCTTGATTTTTCTTATAACAGTTCTGGAGCCCTGGACTGGAAAAGCGGAGGTAGAACTGTTTTTTTTATCTCCAGGGATTAGTCTCCCCTGGACACGGGAAGGATGGCTTCTTCTTAGTTGCAGCGCAGGTTGTGGTGGGTGGGTGTGGGGTGGGGGTGTGGAGGTGTGGGGGGTTGTCGGGAAACGGGGACACGGGGACACGATACACGGGACGACAACCCCACGGGCTCTCGCTTCTGGTGAGTGGATCAGGACCCACTTTTGGTTGACAATGGGATTTTTCGAGTTGGAATTTTAGATTGAGGGTGGCATAGAAATTTTCTCTGACCTTGTCTGTATGAAAATGTGTACAGGGTGGGATGGAACCCACAAATCCACAAGGACCAACTCTTGTACTCCACAAAAGGGAGTGAGGGGGGTCACTTAACAAGGGACATTCACCAGAGGGCCATCAATAGCCAGGAAACTTTCCAAAGCGGGGAGGCTAATAGTAAACAGAATAACTTAGGGATAGCTTTTGTCCTAAGAGGTCCTAATTCTCTGGTTGCAGTAGCAGCTGTGTGTTCCCACCTACCACAGCAGGGTCTGAAAAAGGACCCTAAATACTGATGTGGGACAGGGGAAGAGCCACTGTGATCCTTAATCTGGCTCTTCCCAGGCAGGGCTCCTTTCCTCTCTGGCCCACTGACTTTATCACAGTTTTGCTAATTGGTCTAAAGTGCTACAGCCCATATCTTAATATGTCTGGGGGCACTGGGCCAAGAGGGCAGGCTTGGGGTGCCATTGCAC